GGCATTCCTTGCCTTCCGCACCACTGTTTGCTCCCTGCAGGTCTGCAAGAGATGCGCTGGGTGACGATGGAAGTCTGTGAGGCTTGTCTGTAAAATTGCTTGAGCTACTGGAAAGGACCGGGTTTAACTGAACCCTGGCAGTTGCAGAAGCTTCTCGTTGACCACGACCCGAAGGCAGCGCAGTGCTCTTGGCTGAGTTGTGCCATTTGAGTTTGGGCATGTGTCTAGTGTCCGGTAGGAGCGTGCAGTCTCTGGAGGGCTGGTAGGAAGCTAAAAGGAAGGTAACAATCCCCAGAGGGATGTTCGACAGTCTGTTGGCATTAGATATTTGATCTTAATACAGACACTGGCCTCTGCTGTTTGTCACTGTGACCTTTTATCGTTGGAGCACTCCTACAGCTAGACTGAAGGGACTAACTCTTTGGTTCTTGTCAGAGGAGTTGTAAAAATTGAGGCTTTTTCTGCACCGATTATCCTAAATTAACATGAAAATACGTTCAATCGTTTTCAGTTTAAACGCAGAACGAACGTTCCACACGTTACAGAGTTATACACAAACAAAGTGTGCAAATACTCACGAGCGTGTTCTTTCTCCTCCCTCTCTGCAGGTTGATTTTCCGAGAAATCTGGCCAAGTCCGTAACTGTAGAGTGAAAGATCATCCGAATCATAGGGGCAAAGGGGATTTAAATGAAAGACTTTTTTTGGTACCAAAATAACTTGATTTTAAAGTCCCCTAGGTAAATCTTATTTTGGTAAATCATTGCTTGTGTGTAAGATCACCGCAATTCCATTACGTTAGTGATTGTCAAACCGATTCCACACGCTACGTCCATAGCTTTGGGGTTTTTTTGAGCAGTAGACTTCCACAAAATATTTTAAATGGTTTTCTTTAAAGATTACGGAGTCTTCTAGGTGAGGGGCCTTCCACTTTACTCTAAGATAGTGTTTCTTATCCGCTGTGGCTCGTTCCGATCGTTGATGAGAAACCACGGAATGAATTTACCTGTCGTGCTCTCAGGCAGTGAAGCAGGACACCAGAACACCCGACTGGAACAAGAGCCGTTACTGGTCGCAATTGTGCCGATATTTTTAACAGTCAACAAACCTGTAAAGGAGCATTTGGGGTCATTTTTTTTTTTTGCCTCACGTACAGAAGGGAATGCAGCTGACCTGTCACAACCTCCGAAATTTTAGGCCTGTGGTGATGTGCTAAGGAAGAAAAAAAGGATTTTATCGATGCCAAATACTTAGCAAGTGACAATCTTGTAGCCTCCCGGGCCACGCCGCCCTGTGTGACAGCAGCAGATGCCTGTCGTGTGCCCGTGACGACAGCGGGACCTTCGAGGGTGAACGGCAGTGGTGGCCGACTTGTGGGCGCTTTCCCAAGCGGGGCGAGAGGGAGGGACGTGGGCAGTGCTCAGTTTGCTCTGTTATTGGCTGTTGTTGGACGTTTTTTATACAAGTCTTCCTCTGTTGAGGGTTTTTTCCTCTTGTGTTGAGCATGGTGGCACTGAGCACATCCTAAGGAACCGGCTCCGTGCTGCTGCAGGTCCCTCCCTTCGCTGGAAAGTTTCTGCCTTGTATTTCTCCAGCAGAGAGCCGGCACTAAAGCTCCATTCCTGAGGATTAACCGCAGTAGCCAAAGGCCCTTAGTGAAAGTACAGGTTCTGGTTTATTTAGGAGCAGTTCATAGGTGACTTGTGTCAAATTCAGGTGGTTTAAAATGAAAAAAAAAGCTCGGTAGACACGACAGCAATATAGACCTTGGTAATAGTTTTCTAACAGGCTTGTAGAGAATCAGAAATTACGTGGAAAATATGCCTTCAAGACTTAAAACTGACTTTCTCAAAGTCAAAGGACAGTTACCTCTTTATTCTTTAACACAGAAAAAGGTGAATTTCCGGCCAGCTTGATGGGATCTTGACTTACCTTTAGGCACGCACCATAAAAAAGAAAACCAAGGCGTAAAGCAATGCTGGCCAAGCCCCGGCAAACATTCCACTCTCTGCCCCCGAGAAACAACGGCGGGGCTGGGGCTTGTCTGCTCCCCTCTCAAACCCCCTTCCCCTGCCCACACCAGCCATCGGGCGCAGCGGTGACCCGGGCTGGCTCGTACGACGGAAGGCAACTGCTCAGACCAAAAGACCGATCGTAGCAATTCTATTTGAATATAAACCCGCAGTAACTATTTAACTTCAGTTCGGCGTCACCTCAAGGCTTAGTTTTAGCATGAGAACGAAATGCTGAGTGTCTGGAAAAGGCTTCTCCAAAGCAGGATACGTACGTGTATTAATCTCCAGCCTGTTAATTTATGAACATGTTGTGCTGCCAGTGTCTGTTTAAGAGCAAAGTAGGCAACACCTTGTTTTATTTATAGACCATTTGCTTCTGTGGCACCCACTCGTAAGAGTTCTGTGCCTCTGCCTAACCGTGACCAATAGACTTCCCTGCTTCGTTTGGAGACAACCTTGCCAGTAAAGAAAAACCAACACGTGCTCAGTGCTAATGATTTGAAGACAGTTCCTCTTCGTCCTCATCCTCGTCCCCTTAAGAGAAGAGAAACTGCAAATCTCTCCCGTGGGGGGCTGGAACCAAGGCAGGGCTCTGCTCCTGCACCCCCCCCAGCAGCGTCGCATCCCACATTCTTGTTAGAAAGAGCCCTGCCAGAAGATTATTTTAAGCTCTTTTTTTTCTCCTATTCCGCTCAGAAGAAAAGCAGCAAGCATGGCTTTTGTCTGGCCCTGTACAGACGACTGTCCACTGGCTTTCTGAGTCTCCTAGTGAACAGGATGGTAGGCATCCCAGTTAAATCAGTAAAAGCTCGATAACGCAGGCTGGTAAATACTCGTGAAAGCAAGTTGTGGACGAAGAGGACCAAAGACCAGGAGTCTGAGTTAGAAACGCGAGTCTGACGCTCTCACGTCGGGGTGTAACCGCACAGGTTGCTCCGAGCTGTTTGGTTTTCTGCTGCGATAGATGAATCCCGATTCTCTGCAATTCAAGGCGTTAAAACACGCGGCAGATCCCCCCCTGCCCGAAGGAAAGGGAGCGCTCGCCCCTCCACGTTCTGCTCTAAACCCTGCCTGCCCGCGTGTAGTCGCTCCTTGCAACCAGGCCCTGGGGTGTTGCGATGCTTAATATCAAAGAACGCTGTGGAGCACGTTTGCTGTGAAGAATTTCTCTGATGAGCGTGGTAGGGAATCTGCTGAGCATCTCGTTGTCGGTAATCGCCACGCCTGTGGGCAGTGCGAATGGACAAAGGACTCTTCTCTAGCTTTCCTTACCTCATTTTTGTCTGGACGTGTTGCATTTCGATGAACAGATGATGTTTCTCTTCCCCTTAGAAAACTTCTAGAGTGTCTTGTGATATTTATTAACAGCCAGTCAGTCTTCTGCTCTCCAGAATGAATGTTTTTGCCTACTGAGCCAGTAAAAAAATATCCCTCCTTTCTCACTGAAGTGTTTCAAAATGCAGTAGCCCCATCACTAAAATTGAGCCACAGGTAAATACAGATAAAAGCCTTTGCCATTTGGAACAGCAGCTGCCTGTCACCGCCTGCTTTTGTCAGGATTTATTTTGATTTTGGCAACCATTTTCCTCATCTACATCTCCAGAGGCTTAAAGGGAAGCACAAGCCTGGTCTCAGGGTATTTTGGTTACCAAAGACCAGAGAACTTGAGGCTCGGCGCACGGTGGTTCTGCCCAGCAGGCTCAGACCAACTCGGCGCCGCGAGCGAGGTTACTCCACACACCGTAGGAAACGGAGTCGTGGGGGGAATGTCCTACTCTCCGAAAGGCTTTCCCTGCGAGCCCTGCCGCAGAAAGGCTGCAGACAGTTCTTTCCCGAGTTTGTGAGTAGGTGCTGTCGGGTGCAAAGAACCCAAACCCGTATCGGGGCAGGTGTGACGAGGACGCAGCAAACGCCGTCTCCTTTTCAGCATGGTCTTGCTGTCTTGAAGGCGCTTAGGGAGCACGGACACGGGGATGCCCTTCTAGCCAGGAACCTGCCTTGACCCCCGCGTCGCTGCAGCCTCGACCCCTCAGAGCTTTGAGCTTTCCAAGCGAGGTGGGAGGGAGCTGGCGGACGCGATCGCGCTCCGCTGTGAGCCTTAACCAGAGCCAGGTGTCTGGGCTGGTCTTAACCTGCAGGCTGAGACACCTGAAGGTGTGAGGAAGGCTGGTGGAAGGTCAGGCTTTGCTCCTCTCGAGCTATCGCTGGCAGTCCTTGGCGAGGCGGTGCGTGACGGCAGCGTGTCGGATGCGAGGGGTGGCGACTGAAATTCGGTGTTTGAAGTAGCCCGTGTTTAGCTGTGGCTGATTTTAGAGCCTACCTGAATGCACCAAACTTGCGTCAAAGCACGGAGTCCCTCCTCTGCATCAGAAACAGGAAGAAGAAGCAGCAGAGAGGTGTTTGGTGTGAGTAAAAAAAAGGAAAGAAAACTTACTTGCCTTCAATTCCTGTATGTAAATAGGCATTTGAAGTGGCAAATACCGCCCTTTCTTCCCTCCTCGACTTTTTGCCTCTGCCTGTACATACCCAGCTGGCTCGGTTTGTGGGGACCAGTCTGTATCTCGTTTCCTGTCGTGTGCTGTACGCAGAAGATGTCTTACTTTTGTCTGTAGTGTTTTATGATTTGGGGGTTGTCTTTTTTTTTTTTTTTGGTGTTTTATTTTTATTTTTTGCTTACTTTTTTTGTATCTCACCCTTTGAATAAAATCAAGTGCCCTACATTAAACAAACAGAATGACTGGTCTTTAGTTAAATGCATTTAAGAATAGGTCAGCCCCCTGCAGAAGGTGAGCACAGCACGTATAAAGCAGAAGAACACGGGGCTTAACTCGCCTCTCTCCTAACCAGGCAGGTTTTTTCAGGTCTGAGATGCCAGAATATCCTCCAGCTGCCCTTTCCATGATTTTGCCACTAACCAAGGAGAAAGCCCATAAACTACCCCTAAGGCAGCATCATCAGGGTGACCTTCTGCACCTCAGTTCTCATTTAACCACCGCTTTTCTGTCACGAGGCAAGACAAAATCACAGTCAGCAGAGCCTGTGTGTGTCCCACAACTTTTGAAACTCACGGTTTCTTTTTTCAAGAAAGAAACCCAGTCAGGCGCTGCCCGGACCGGCTGCTTTGCAAACCCAGCAGTGGAGATCTACAGCACAGAGGCCGAGCTCGTACAATTAAGGGCGCATTCTTGTAAGACATCAGCTGGGGGCTTAAGAGATTGCTCATGTCTAAAAAAAAAATATTAAAAAAATAAATAAATGCCTAGATGACTTTGTAAGTGAAAGCCACAATGACCAAATTCTGAAATTCCAGCCCTCCTCCAGTCGGGGCCATTTCTGGATTAATTTCCTCAGGGACCTTCAGCTCTCCAGGGGAACAACATCAAATGTGATCATTTCATTTCCGAGGTACCGTGAGCAGCCTGGACTCCCTCGTCTCACGACTGCATTTCCCATACGAGTACCAGGACCAAAAGGTCACGAGGCTGCTTTTCAGACTTACTGCCTTGAAACAACTCACCTGCAGCCGCGTTTCTCTGTCTGGGCCATTTCAGCGAATGAAAGTGGCAGCGAGAAGACAAACGTAAAAGGACACGTCCAGGGTCCTTAGGGAGTTGGTCCCAAGCTCTGCTTGCAAGAAAG